ACAAAATAATGATTAACAACGGGAGCTTCCTCACTCACCGCAGGTGGGCGCCGCCCGCCGTTTGGACTTTTTTTTTTTTTTTTTAAACTTTTTTTTTTTTTTTTATTTTTATTTTTTAAATTTTTTTTAATTATTAAATTTTCCACAAGGATATACAAAAATTAACATAAAAGATCAAAACCCCACCCATCCCTTACCCGTACAGAACGGCACATCATATAACACTTACACAGTCAAGACAACATGCTGGAAAACATCACAGATTGATCCAAACCATTCCCCAAGCTCGAGAAAAAAAAATAGAAAAGAAAAAAGAACAATTATACAGGGTATTGAACAGTAACGGGTTTGTCATACACAGTTTATTTGGTTTTTAACAATAATTGGATAGCCATACATTTACAATGTGATGCATATAAAACAAACCATACAATTCCCTTGAGTTATAAGAACAAGACAAAAAACACAACAAAACGACCTCCAATCACTCCCAGGCAATAAGAAAAAGTCATAAGAAAAAGGACACACGCACACAAAAAAAGTTTTGAAATAGATAAAAATGAAGATGCATTCTTCTACATACCGTTTGGACTTTAACTCATTGGCTGCCAAAGACGTCTATAGATGTCTTTTATGTTTTTCAACGCGAGTGGCTGGGGGACGATCTGCTAAAGCTTGTCCGTAAATATCTGCTTCCAGACAGAGTATGTAGTAACAAATTGACCCTCTAGGGGGCAGTGCCACTTTTGATGGGAGATTAGCATAGATTGTAGGCAAATAAAAAAAAGGAAAAGTTTAATATATTCTGCATTTAATTGGTCAAACTCTGGAACTGAGAGAGGCTAAATCCCCCAAAACTGGTTATTAAATGTCCAAAACTATGCGTCTCCTCCTCGTGGTCCTGGTATCCGACTCCATATGGAAACCAGAAGGAGTCTGTAGGACCCAGAATGAACCTCTAGGTCCTGGTCTCTGACTCCATCTGGACTCCAGGTCTTCAGTGTCCTCCACAGAAAGAGCATAAAGCCAGAAAAGCCTCCGTTTGTTCCAGGATTCCAGAGTTTAACCAGCAGGGTTCAGAGATCTGCTCAGTGGAGTTTAGAGACCAGCCCAACAGATCCAGGGTTCAGGGTTAAGGATTTAGGGGGAAAATGCAGATAAAGGCTCCCAAATACAACAGGAGAAAGACAGCAGGCAGAAGCAGCACTAAACTAGAGAATAACAAGAACAAGAAGACGAACAGGAATAATAAGAAAAACAAGAACAAGATCAAGAAGAACTAGAGGAAGAAGAACTAGAAGAACAAGATGAAAAACAATAAGGAGAAGAACTAGAAGAAAAACAAGTAGGGGAAACTAGAAGAACAAGAAGAAAAAAGAAGGAGAATAACAAGAACAAGAAAAACAAGAAGAAGAAGAACTAGAAGAAAAACAAGAAGTAGAAGAACAAGAACAAGAAAAACAAGAAGTAGAAGAACTAGAACAACAAGAAGAAAAACAATAAGGAGAAGAAAAACAAGTAGGGAAAACTAGAAGAACAAGAAAAAAAAAGAAGTACAAGAACAAGAACAAGAACAAGAAACAAGAAAAACAAGTAGAAGAAGAACTAGAAGAAAAACAAGAAGCAGAAGTCGCCACATGGCATTTAAAAGCCTATACATTTCATTGTGTCACCCCCCCCCCCCCCAAACAGCCTGAGCCCGGCCCCCCCAGGAGAGAAATCCGGGACACGACCCTGTTTATGTATTATTTATGTATATGTATATTTTAAGGTTGAGTTTAAGCTGAGATGTCATGGAGCTCCAGTCTTGAATTTTAGAGCAATTTCACTTTTTTTTCCTGTGGGTTTGAAAAATGAAGTGAAATTTGAAGACAGAGTAATTCTGGTCTTCAATATTTAAATGGTTCCCACACATCTGATTCAAATTGAAAAGATTTCTTCGACAGATTGTTGATTTCTCCACAAATATGTCAGTAATGCAACGATTTGCACCAGTTTTACACTTTCATATTTATTTATTTTGGCTGTTTATTTGTTTATCTGTTCATGGCAGCATCATTTTTTCAGTCTGTCATGTGGTGCCAACTTGTTTCAGAGCAGACAAACCTAATCCTAAACACTCACTCTTTAAGTAAAGCATTAAAGTTAAGAGGATTTGGGATAAAGAAAGAAAGGAAAGATTGGAGAAAACAGCAAAAAGATTCAGCTCAGACTTTAAAAAGGCTTATTTGTATAAATATATGAAATATGAACAAAGATTTAGTGTACTGTGACTTAAACATGAAGCCAATTCCAGTTTTTACTGTTTCAGATTTAAGACTCAAAACAAAGAAAACTAGCTAATTTTTAGGCTAGCTTGCACAGCCATAGATTATTTATACCGGCTCACTTGATGTTTTTTTTACATTCTTTTTGTGGATAATTTGAAAAAATAGAACATTACACGACATATAAATAGACTAAGATTCAATTAAACAATATTTTTATTCCTTGGAAAGATTCAGAAGCGAATTAGGAGATTAGCTTTGCTAACTGCAAGCTAGTAACAACCGCTAACAGCCAAATCGTCACATGCTCAGAAATGTTATGCTTTTTTTTCTATGTGAAACAACTAAAAAAACACCTAGTGACCTCATCTCTCTGTTATTTGTGTCATCAGCCTCTCAGGATGCCCCAGAGCCTTGTACGCCAAGAAAAAGGCCAAGTTCCCCTCAGAGGAATACCTGAGCACCAAGTTCAGAGCCAACGATGGTAAGACAAACTGAATGTGTTCATAAATAAGTGCATGTACTGTAAAATAGATTTTAAAGACTGTATTTAAAACATTTACCTGCATAATGAATCCATAAATCACAATACAGGACTGTCTCAGAAAATTAGAATATTGTGATAAAGTTCTTTATTTTCTGTAATGCAATTAAAAAACATGAAATGTCATACATTCTGGATTCATTACAAATCAACTGAAATATCGCAAGCCTTTTATTGTTTTAATATCGCTAATTGTGGCGTACAGCTGAAGAAAACTCAAATATCCGATATTCTAAGATATTTGGGAATGTATGACACTTCATGTTTTTTAATTGCATTACAGAAAATAAAGAACTTTATCACAATATATTCTAATTTTCTGAGACAGTCCTGTATTTGTTATCTAGGATGAGATATTCTTGTTAAATTGGGCGATTAGCATAGAAGTAAGCTAATAATGAAAGCTAAACCCCTTAGAAACATACAGGAAGAAAGGAGAGTTTCTAGAGTTCATTTTACTGCACATTTCCTGTACAAGACAATTCAAAGTGCTTCTCAAGGAGTTTAAAAAAGATAAGGAATCAAAATAAGACAATAATTGGTTCAATAGATTCAAAGTGCAGATAAAATACCTTCAGTTTTCGTGTGAACAGTTAAATAGAAGCTTTTTCAGCCTGGATTTAAACATTGTTCCAGTTTTTAGGAGAATAAAACTAAGAAGAAGCTTCTTCTGGTTTGGTTCTGGTTCTGGGCCCCATCAGGAGACCAGAACCTGGTTCTCAGAGTCCAACTAGTCCTTAGAAACATACAGGAACACAGGAGAGTTTCTAGAGTTTCTATTCTACTTCTTCTTAGTTTATTCTAATGTTAATTTGCCTCTGTTTTTAGTTTTGGACAACGATGACGACATCAAGCAGCTCAACAAGGAGATAAACGACCTCAACGAGTCCAACAACGAGATGGAGGCCGACATGGTCAACCTGCAGACCCAGGTGTGTTTCTGTAGGGTATTATGATGAGGAAAGATCTGGTCGTACACCCTCTGGCCTAATTCTTCGGTCAGAAAGAATGCAGCTGTTATTATAAAGCAAAAGTCTGAGTCCATCTGAGGAAGTAAGAAATATACATTTATTAAAAGGAAAAAAAGGGAAAGGGAAAACTTCATGGAGAGCAACCAGCAGGACCATACAAGTGGTTCATATGAAGTACCAAACTGCCCAAAAGTAAAACAAATCATGGTACATTTTATACCTTTCTGAGTCTGGAAATAAGACGTAAAGTCTGTCCTTCATTCTGCACCTGTACCAAACAATCCTCCAGACAAAACAGTAAAGGGGACATATTATGCAAAACCAAGTTTTTAATCATGTGATTATGTACATTTGGGACTGTGGAGGGCCTATCAGCAGGCAAAGTGTGAAAAAAAATGACTGTCATGTTTTTGTGGGCCGCCTCAGTCTGAATCCAGGAGATAAATCAGGAGGTTTCAGGAGTGGGTAGTTTCTGACGTCATTAGCTCTAGCTCATTATAATATTCCAGCCTTTCACCTGCATGTTGCCCCCCCCCCCTCAGCTTACTCCCCTATCTGTGGCAGACGTCGTGGTAGCGTG